CTATAGTTTTGGGTTTCACATTTAAGTCTTTGATCCACCTGGAGTTCGTTTTTGTGTATGGTGTGAGGTACAGGTCTTGTTTCATTTTTCTGCAAATGGATCTCCAGTTTTGCCAGCACCATTTATTAAACAAACTTTCTCTTCCCCATTTAATGGATTTGGGCCCTTTGTCAAAGTTCAGCTGACTATAGGTCAATGGATCTATTTCTGGGTTCTCGATTCTATTCCATTGGTCTATGTATTTGTCATTAAACCAATACCAGGCAGTTTTGACGACTTGGCTGTATAGGAGGTTTTGAGATCCGGCAGTGTGAGACCTCCTACTTTGTTTTTCTTCTTCAATAGTGCTTTGCTTACCCGAGGTCTCTTTCCTTTCCATATAAAGTTAATGATTGGTTTTTCCATATCCCTAAAGAATGTTGATGGGATCTGGATTGTGATTGCATTGAAAGTATAGATTAATTTGGGTAGAACTGACATTTTCACAATGTTCAATCCTCCTACCCACGAGCATGGGATGTTCTTCCATTTATGTAGCTCTCTTATGGTTTCTTGAAGTAGTTTTTTCTGTAGTTTTCTTTGTAGAGGTCTTTTGTGTCCCTGGCAAGATTTATTCCCAAGTATTTTATTTTTTTGGTAGCTATTATAAATGGTATTGAGTTCTTGACGGCACATAACAACAACAGCATGTACTTCATTCATCATTTGGTTTCAATTGTGAGAAACTGAGTCTATGTTTTAAAGTTCTTCTTCCTTATTATTCCTCAAAATTGTTTTAATTATTCTTGAACTCTTACTCTTTTACATGAATTTTAGAGTTAGCTTACCAAATTCCACAAGAAATACTGTGGATTTGGATGATAATACATTGGATTTATAGATTAATTCAGAGACAACTGCTCTTCTTATGATATTGTCTTCCTAAACATGGGCATAGTACAGTTCTCCATTTATGTAGGACTTTCTTCATGTCCTTCAATAAAGCATGTAAATTTTTCCATACTTCATTTCCTACATACCTGTATTATTCAGATGCTTAAGTGAAATAGAGTATCTCACATTAAAGACCAGAAATAAGGATCATAAGGCTAGTCTGACAAGTCTGCAGTTTCTGAAACCCAGGCTGCTTCCAGCTT